GTTAATTGGTGGAGTGTTGGATACCACCACCTGCGTACCCATACTTATAAATATCCACCAACAGTAATCACAAATAACACAACATGCATCCTTGATAATGGATGCAGAACGCATTCGAAACTCGTCGGCCAACTCATCACTATCTACAACTTTTACCCGTTGTTCTACCAACGTTAAGACGGCTTATCGACTTCTTGAGAAGAATTCTAAGAAGAAAGTAAACCTACAGACATCGGTCTTGTTTAACAGAATCTGTCACCAAAGTACACCAACATCCGACTATATTTTTTTTGTACATCAAGGTTTACTTTACTGTTTTTAAATTTTCATGGTAATGACTGTGTATCATGCAAGCTAGTGTTACTGTTGAATAGGACTTGTGAATACCTATTGACTTGGGGGCAGTGAATTTAACCAAGAAAATTTAAATTATTTTGAGCATTTTCTCCTATATAGTATGTTGAATTATTTAAGTTTAGTATTTTCCACGTGCTTCTTTTCTTTATGATGACATGTTAAGCCAAAATGTCTTTGATTGCTTGCAACTTACATTATATTAGTTCTGAACAACATGTAATTTAATTGTAAGGCATTATGTGTACAATATTGCAAAAATTATAGAACAGTAAATATTCATCATCCTCTCTAGTTTTTGATCTGTGAAAGCAAACTTATCTGTGGCATTTTTCATTCCTTTAGTTTTGAAATATGAGCCTAACAATAAGACTGCTCAGGAATTTTATCCACTTATTGAAAAAAAACTCAAACTAGGTAAGACCTTATAACTTCAGTTAATATGGATCTTTTAAAGGTACATATGACCTTTTCTAGATGTCTTTTTTTCATGTAAAGTGTTTTTGTTAATAGAAATTTGACCCGAATTTAAATTTGGATTATATTTGTTTTAACGGTATTTTGCAATCAACAAGAAAAAAAGATGTATTATTACCTTCACTTGTCAAGCAGTAACTGTTGTAATTGTACTCTGTAAAATAATGTGTTATCTACTTTAGAATACTTACTTTAATGAAAATATTTGAAAGTTACAAAAAATGCAAAGCATGCAGTGATCTTTACAATGATGTTTGTGGCTTTACTGTCTCAATTCTTGAAAATACTAAATTCTGAATTTTGTGATTATATCAACACTTCCATTATCAACTAAATATTCTGTATGTTCCTTTCACCAAAAAATTATTTTTTGTCATTTTTCTGCCTAAACCTTAAAGAAAATTTTAATTTTCAGATAGATTGTTAGAAATCCTTGCTGATTATTTTACTGATTGAAATAACATTGTAGTCAAGAAAGAAATTACTTTAAAACCCTAATTTGTTAATATTAAAGCCAGAAGGTTTAACTCATCCAGTTTATGGTTTAGTAAAGTAAACAAAAAAATATCCTTCTATTATATACATGCTTCCTTTGAAAGTTTTCTCTATTACCAGTCTCTATGGAATTTTTACTTGGTTATTGAAACTTCTGAGTTGCTATTGTTTAAATGTAAACAATGAAAGTTATCATATTGTTTATTAGATTTTATAATGAGGTTATCAGTTACTGTGACATTAGCGTTTTGTTTCAGAAAATGAATTATTAGAAAAATGAGAATGTTGGTGCATATTTAATGTTGTAAAAAATTACTCTTTTTTGTTTAAGTTCAAGATTAATTTACCAGTGGTTTAGTTTGAATTGGTAAAATTAATATTCTTATTTAAGTTAGTGAAAGTTGTGAAGTTGATAATTGATAATGATATCAAGTAATGAAATAAGTGAAAATGTAAATAAAAAATTGTGAAATTCCAAACAACTTCCCTGTGTAATAATATAGTTAATCAACTTTGCTGTAGTAGTATTTTTCTGTATTTGTATAGTGGGTATTACATATTTTAACATTCAAGTTTATCATTTCCAGTTGAGCAAGCAAACATGTTAAGTGATTAGCTTGTACACTTTTCTAAAGACCTTGGGAAGAAATTTCTAATTGTCAACCTTTCACAGTCTTTTCCAAAAGCATAGATAGAATATGTAAGAAATAAAAATGGGCTACTAAAAGTACATAATCGCAACAGAAAAGTATTAAATATAGCAAATATTAATGGAAAAATTCTTTTGTCACATTTTGACAAATTATGGAATTTTATAAATGTACCTTACATTAACTTTTTAAGTATAACATCCCTCCTATTTTAAGCACATCTCTCATGTGTTAGTTACCATGTAAAAGCTTCAACTTGTTCTTAAATGGCAAACAGTGATCTCCTATAGAGGGCATTTTTGATAAAAGATCTCAGTCTTTAAATATTGGTTGTTTATTTTCTCATGTACACATGGAAAATAAAAATGCATCACCTCATGTTTCGCTATTATTGTAAAATTTGCTTCATAAATAAAACAAATCATATATTAATTGTTTATTTGACACATCCTTAAAAATCAATGCAGTAACAAAACATTTTGAATCATCTCCATTTATCACAATTGCCTGTATAACTGAACAAGTAGAAAATTATTTTTAACTAAACTCAGTTCTTGTTTAATAGCGTGTGTATCCTCCATTTGCCTCAGTTATGGCTGTTATGAATTGCCTCATGGATCGACAGAAATGTCTGATTTTGACTTTGTGGTATAGCTGTCTATTCTTCCCTCAATGTTGCTCTGAGTTGTTGTTGCATTTCTGGAGAATGTTGATGCTGACACAAATGCCTGCTCAGTAAATCCCAAAGATTTTCCATGGGGTTCAAATCTGGTCTCTTTACTGGCCAGGAAAAAACATTAACCTCACTGTTCTCCAGAAACTCAGTACAGATACGAGCCACGTGTGGTCTGGTGTTGTATTGTAGAAAAACTGCACTAGGCCCAACTTAGTCCAGAAAAAGCAGAACCGCTGGTTGAAAAATTTCATCCCTATATCTCTGAGAATTCAAAGTCCCCTCAATAAATTGAAGCTCTGTTCGGTCATTGGTTGAGATACTGGCCCTTACTGTTATGCTAGGACCTCCCCATCTGTACACATGGAGCCCATTGTGTAGCTTTGTGCTTAATTACAACCAACTTCTTCAGTCTTACATTTTCATTTAAGATTTTGACACATAGTGTCCTCTCCTCTATTGAGGAGAAACCCAGATTTTACAGAGGCTATGTTGATGACACATTTGTTATCTGATCCCAGTATCATGAAAACATACTGTTACGACAGCGGAAGTCACATGATGAGGTTCTAGAAGGATCATGACTTTTCCTGGCAATTCTAGTCGGTACCAGGTGCCCTCTTTTTTTAGTATATAAGCCCAGCAAATAAAGCAGAATTAGACAGATATAGAGATAGATAATTGAGTCAAGCGAGCTGTAGGCACCGTAAGTAAAGTGTGTGAATCGTTGTGAATTATAGTGTGTGTTTATAAAAGTAGTTATCTTTAAAGTGACTGTGGAAATTAAGTGTATTACAAAGTTTGTAACGAAAAAGAATAAACTAGTTTTAATTAAGAAAGAACTCATATCGCCGAGTTCCTCGGAAAGAATTTATACCGGGAATTAACAAACGACCAGATGCGTAACAATACTAACCTTAACTTCAAAGACAACAGAATCCACTACACTATGGAAATAGAGAGAGAGAAAAAACAGCCTGCCATTCCTTGGTATTTTCATCAGCAGACAGAATGAGAAACTCACTACACCATATACAGGAAACCAACTCATACTGATAGACACTCACATTTTCAGTCTTCCTTCTGTTAAATTCAGTATTATTAAGTGCTTGAACAACAGAGCTAAAAACATTTGTGACAGAAACTCCATCAAAATTAAATATCAACACATACATTTTAAACAGAACAGGTTCTCATCTATTTTCATCACCAATAGCTTGAAGAACACATAAATACAAATTGATACAACAGACAAGAGAAACAAGTCCAATGCTGTTTACCTCTTATATATACAAAACCTAAGTGAGAAGATAAAAGTGTAGTCAAAAGTTCAACATTGTTGTCTGCTGGTGATCTTACATAACACTATGTTCTGTACTCGTCAAACTAAGCAAAGAACAACTTATGATAAACAGAAATGTCATTTATGAAATACCATGTTTCTGTAAACAAACCTACATTGGAGATACTTGGTGCTAGAATAAAAGAACATAAAGATTGCAAAGTCTCATGAAAATACAGATATCTGTGCTGGCAGCTACCTTGTTGGCTGAAAATATAATAGACTGGGCACTTACAGATATGTCAACTCAGATATATTCTGGAAAACAAGAAAAACAATCTTTCTACTTCAACATAATGAAACCATTACTAAATAAAGACTTGAGTCTGGAAACAAAAAATTTGTAGTTACCATTGGTCAAATCACCAGTCGTTCTTATAACATGGTTAGTGGAACAAGTGGTGATTTGACCAACATCATTCCTCCCTCATATCATACAAATTCCTGCAAAGACTGGAGCAAGTTGACTTAAATATGGAAGTCTTGTGAAATGTTGTTCTTTCCATTCAAGTTATTTTTATATTCTTCCAAGACTTTTACCATTAGTATCACTCTGAGTTAGGCAGTTGTTATCCATTTCAACTTTGTTCGTTATGAAAACTGCCTAAATCATCTATAAAAGTGTATGTTTCATCACATTCATGTGCCTAATAGTAATACAAAAGCTATAATACTGTTGTGTGATGATGTGGGTATTTGGTCACAAAACTTATTGGTATATTCAACCATAAAAATGGTAATAACACACCAGCATAATAATGCACAAATGATTAAAGAATTAAAACACTTACAAAAGAAAAGCTAGTTTTAACAGGCCAGGCCTATCATCCTCAATAAACAGGGTAAAACTATTCTCAGCTTCTTGTATGTTCAGGTACAAAATGGCCACAGATGTTTTGGTAACCAAGTGTTTGCCCACAGCTGCAGTGAAACTTAAGCAACAAGACTTGTAAAGCTAGTTCCAGTCATTTCTACTTCACTTAGTTACAGTTCAGTAACCAGACTGTGCCATCACTTCTCAATAAAAAACTGTTTCATGATGGTTCTTTTACTGCAGCAGTTGAGGATAATGTACTTGACTTAGTCTGTGGTATACCACAATTATCATGCAGTCCACTCTTTTTGATCTTTGCACAAGATATCAATGCATAAACCAAGATTAGACACCACTACCTTCACTATACAAATAACAGAACCATAGTGAAATACCCGATACCTTGAAAAGTCAAACAGCTAAGTTACCAACTTAGAACTTTACCTTGCTGCTTCTTAGTATCTTTACCAACACATATGAATTTCCACTCAGCCCTGTGTGAGCAGGGCTGATGACCATGTTTTTTTGGCTCGAGCTGACTACTGTGCTTCTCAGATCTGTGGGCAGACCTGATCTGGGCCCTATTATCTTAATGGAGCAGGAACTGCACCAGACATGTACGTACCTCCCATGGATTTGAGTAGAATAAATGTGAAAGAGAAAACAAGAAGCCTTTTCTAGGATTGTAAACAACAGTGAAAGCAGAAAGTTACAGTTCTAGTACTATTATTTTTATTTGATAGACCATAGACTAGTATAGTATGTAAGTGCATTTGAGAATACATTTTATTAAGTTGAAGATAAAGTACTTATAACTAAACAAGTAAAAATTATACTGTGTTTGAATATTTCATCACCAGTAGCTTATAAATTACTGTTTCTGTCTAGGAGGAAACAAATGATGATGTAATTTTCTTGTAGAGATGTACAGAACATTTTATATTTTGATGAAGTTTTATAAATTCATGTTTCTGAACACTGTGTACAGAAGTTGAACGAGAAGAACATCACTACAGCTGGGAAGCAGATGACGATGAAGATTCTACTGTTTCTGAAAGCTCAAATGATCACTTTTCAAGTGCAAGAAGTGGAGATAGTGATAGTTTCATGTCAAGGTATGTATGAATAACAGAACATATCAGTTGACAAAATTATTTTAAAATAATTACATTGTTTTTAAGAGTACACCACAAAGTTTGAGAAAAGCAATACTTTAATGTCACTGGAGATCAGAAAAACTTTCAATTTGATTTCTAACATTATGTTTGATTGTTTTGATCATTCTCAAACCTTAGATTGAAATCTAATGACCAGGTAAAAGTTTATTACCTATTCTGTTTTCCTAATATAATTGTCTATATGTGATTTTGTAAAATGGATAGGCTCATTTTTATTGAAGATTTATTATTTGACTAAGGCTCATAAATTACTGGTTGATAAATTACTTATGTCACATTAGCAAATAAATATTCCTAGAGTATCAGACTAATTTCTCCAGCATATAAACATTCTGCTGTATTGTGCTTTATAGTTATTGCATGGCTTGTGTTCATGGCAAAATAATGTTTTTTTCCTTAGCGGGTGCTTATTTATAGTCTCAACCATATTTTGGGATTTTTTTTATTAAATTTCTCTTCAAACTTCTCTAAATAATGCAATTTTGTACAAATAATTGAATGTTATGCTACTATTTACAAAAATAAAATCTGAAAACCAGTAAAAGATAAGTTCTCTATAATTTTTGCAATTTACAAATGCAATTTGCTCTCCCGATAACACAAAATGGCTCCAGTAGGTAATGGGTTAAACGTCATGTTTCTTAGCTTCCAAAAAACCTCTAATTTACACAGAGTGACTGTGCTACCTACATGACTTGTCATTCTATTTACAACACAGGTGGAGCCTTAACCTCTAAACATCACCAAACAACCATTGAAGAACATTGCTGTTGATGTCAATATGCAACATGTTATGTTAAGTAATGCTCTTCCCAGGCAGTAACAGATATTATCTACTTCTGAGAATAATGATTTTCTCAACAAAAAGTGTGAAACTTGCATATATTCAGAACAGAGATTGAATTCAGAATAAATTTGATAAAACTACAAGAAGATAGAAACCAATGGTATATTCAAATATAGCAATATGTCCAGTGGACATTTACTTTTATTAAAAGTTTGTGGACTCGTGCAACTTATTACTGGTCGAAGTGCCTTCTTGCAGAGTCTTTATTTCAATGTGCCCCTTCATTTCAGGTTTAGAACCTTTAGTAGATTGTTATTGGGCCAACATTGAAGTATAATAAACTCTGTATATATTAATATAACCTTTTCCCATTGTCTGATCTCATACTGACAGTCATCATTGTAGGATTGTAGCTGCCTAAGTAAGAGATTTTTTTTCTTTGCAATTTCGAAAAAATCTTTACGTGATAGAAAAATTGAATATTATTTTTAAAATCTGCATAGCTGAATTATGGAAAATTTGTTATTAAAAGCAAAAGAACTTTTATGAAGTTTAAATTTGCTGGCCTGTGTAATCAATTATTGAACCCTACTATGGATTGATTAGCAAATTCCACTAATCACCCATCTTTATTTCTGATACAGTTATCACCATTAAGCTTTCAGGGGTAGAATGTGCCCTTTAGGGATTTTCATTTTCTCATTTGTATGAGTTTGATAGCCATTTTAATATTCTTCTTACATTGTTAATGCTTTAGTGCTTACTTCCCAAACTCTGATCAACATTACAGCAAAATGTGTCCCAGTGGTTAGCATGCCAGACTGAATCTGAGGGTACTTGGTTCTCAACCCATTGCTGCAAAAGCAAGCTCCTCTCTTTATTATAATTGTATGAGTTTGGTGGTCATTTCAGTTCATCAGTAAGTTTGGGGGAAATTGGAAACATTTCAGAATATAAGAAAATATTGTAAAATAAGGAAATTAATATTTCTTGAGAAATTCAAATCAATCAAAAGTGAAACTAATTTTTATACAATTTCTAAAGCTAATTCTAAAACTCCACCTATGATGAATGTACCTTTACTAGTTAGCATAATTGTTACACTTGATATTGGTTATAAGAAAGAATAAGTGCTTAAGTAAACTGTTATTACTTCCTGCTATATAAAAATAAAATACCAAGATATCATAATATTTTAGCTGTAAATATGTGTAAGGGTGACCACAACTTTTTTTTTAATCCAGACACACCAATGTTTAGAAACTGAGAGTTCCTCTATAAAATTTGGAGTCATGATGATTCTCTCTAGTTCTAAGTCCACGATGTTGAAAGAATTAATATAGATAATCATACAATTTGTAATGAAGATAATTAACCTTTTGAGGTCAGTTTATGTAGATACAATTTATTCATCATTTTTTTTGACATTCTTAATATTTGATATCAAGCCATCAGTCTTTATATGTGCTGAACAGTCAATCTGAGAATAAAAAGTTAATAAGAATAAAAATGTTTGTTTTTGGAAGGAAACTTCACAAAAAAAAAATGGGACTTTCGCCATCAACTGATTGAAAGAAATATTTCAAAGATAGGAGCTGGCATAAAACAATGCATAAAGAGAGTTTGAATATATATTTGTTGTTCTTTGGTTTATATATACATGATTTTATTGTACTATGTCCAATCAATTGATTTGAATACAATATCTTCCCCAAACACTTCTCATGGAAATGACAACTATCAAAAAGTACTCTGGTAGTGGTCTTTTCTTGCACTTAGGAAAATGACAAGGAACAGTAACATCCAGTGGGGAAAATCCCCGCATCTACTTAGCAAATCTGCGCACTCTGTTGTGCTGGATGCACTCATTGCATCAAAACCCAAACATTTTTGTAACAGTGCATTCCAGTCAGTCAGTCTTTGCTTAAACAAAAATGTAGTGCAATTTTTCCTTATTGAAATAATACATGTAATGACAAAAGATGAAGGTAAACAAAATACCCCATTACACAATCATATTGCATATATGCTCTGATCTAAGGGATTGGGTTGGCTGCAGATTTTATATTTATTCATCACCATTTTTAGGAAGATTCCCATTAAATTGTTTTAATAGGAATCTGCTAGTATTACATTAGTGTGAAAAAATTCACAATAGCTTATGTAGGTCCACTTCTGAAAGAGCACAGGTTAAGTACGAATTTAATTATATACATATCTTTCTACTTTTTCCAATTGAAAGGGTCTTTCAAAGAAGTTCCATAATAAGCTGAAAATTGAGGTTTTAATTTACATTATCTATAATCAGTTCAGCTAGGTTTATTATGGGGAATCTTGTCCACTAAAACTTGTCTCTAAATGTGCAAAATAACTTGGTGCAGATACTATTAAACACAAATGTATTTTAGCTTTTTTTTAATCAAAAAAGTGTTTGAGGTCATTTAGCTTCCTGTAAAAAGTTAAATTTGACAGTTTACTTTTCATCTTTACAATTTTTGTGCGAAGCTATGCAAAAGGTTATCTCTGCTCAGGCCATTCTTAGTTTTGATCTGATAGACTAAAGGGAAAGCAGCCAGTCAATGGTATCCACTGCCAGCTTTTTGACAACTCTATCTAAATGAAAAATGGGATTTAACCAATACTTTTATAGAACACCAGTGGACCCAAAATACAGATTGCATTTTTGCAACAACAGGATGTGCACCTTGAACCCTTGGATTCACAATCTAGGCATTCTAACCACTAGTCCATGCCTGGACAATTTTGTGTGTCATTAAATGTTTTGTAGTGGTCATAGTCATCAAAATTACACATTACAGCATTTCTTCACACTGTTCAGTCTGCACTGTTTATATCATTAATTTTATACAACAAAGTAGTACTTCAACCAAAAACTCTGAGGAAGTAAGCCAAGCTGACCTGGCATACCTGTCAAGTACTAGATTGGCAGTAGTGAATTTTTATACAACAAAGTAGTACTTCAACCAAAAACTCTGAGGAAGTAAGCCAAGCTGACCTGGCATACCTGTCAAGTACTAGATTGGCAGTAGTGAATTTTTATACAACAAAGTAGTACTTCAACCAAAAACTCTGAAGAAGTAAGCCAAGCTGACCCGGCATACCTGTCAAGTACTAGATTGGCAGTAGTGAATTTTTATACAACAAAGTAGT